ACTAACAACATTTTATCCCTGACATTCTAGTGTTTTGGTTTTTTATTTTGTTAAAGACGAACATTCAAATGTGCGATCTAGCCCCTTGAGTATGAAATGCAGGGACAGGCTTCTCTCTACTGTACAAGGGGCGTTTATTAAAAATTTCCCCTGACCCACTTCCTGTGGAGAACAATGAAACTTGGCCCAGTTCTGAGTCCTTCTCTCCATTGGTGCAACCCAAGGAAACACACTTCTCCCATCTTTTAAAGCAACAGTCAACACCTTGCTTGTAGAAGTTGACAGGTTGCTCCAAATGCCATGTTGTGACTTTGGAAATCAGAGTCTCATCATCTGAAAAATGTTTGCCCTTCGAAAATAACTTCCTTGTTGGAAAGAGGTGGAAGTCTGATGGTGCGAGGTTGGATAAATAAGGGGGATGCAGTATAATTTCAAAGCCACGGGAGCATGCTTCCATTTGGGCAACAGGTGAGTTGTGAACTGGTGCATTGTCTTGCAGAAGACGGACACCTTTGATGAGTATGCTACATTGTCTCTTGGTTTTGATGGCCTCCCCCACTTTCTGCAGTAGTGAAGCCTAGAATGCTCCAGTGATCATGGTCCCCTTCGTTAGGAAATCCATAAATCCTACTCCATGCTGGTCCCAACATACTGTGAGCATGACCTGCCTGCCGAGAGTTGGGCTTATGCCTTTTTTTGGAGGCCGTGAGTCATGATGCTTCCACTGCATTGACTGGACTTTAGTCTCAAGATCAGAGTGATGAATCCAGCTTTCACCCTGTGTGATCGGTCTGTTGAAAAAGTCATCCTGGTTTCCATGTCACAACATTGTCAATAGAACCTGAGAGCCTTCAACTCATTCCTGCTTCTGGAAAGGTGAGAGCAGCTGGGGAATCCAGCGAGCAGATACCTTTTGCATGTAAAGATGGTCTTGGATGATTTTTTCCACAGACCCCACACTAATCTTAACATTTTGGGCTATGTGGCAAATGGTTATGTGGCGATTTTCCAAAATAGTGGCCTCAACTTGCTGGATGGTGTGTTCATCAATAGTAGAGTGGGGTTGCCCTGGAATTGGAGCTGTTGCACCAAAGTCCGACCACATTGGAATCGATGATGCCAGTTTTTGACTACATCATATGATGGGGAATCATCACCCTAAACCTCTTCCATCTCATCAAACGTCTCCTTTGGTGTGCGGCCTTTCAAGTAAAGGAATTTGAGGACTGCTCTGTATTCTGCTGGGCCCATTATCAAACTTCACACCACTTCAGCACCTGTCAAATCAAGACTGTTATCAGTTCTGAGTTGCAAATTGGCACGTAACCTATAGAGACTTATATAATTGCACATGTGCAGTTTCAGCATCCTGTGATAAATAAAAGTGGGTCAGGGGAAATCTTTAATGAACGCCTCTCATATGAATAGACAGATGCAAGACTGAATGGAAGCTTTACAGGGCCTCTGTCTGCCTGGCCTCATCGATATTTCAGGAGGCTCAACATTTGTGAGGCTACAAAAGAGTGTGATGCTACATTGGTGTACTATTCATGAGTACTTTTGCATCTTTTTCTAAGGAATTTAAATATAATAGAACTAGCCTAGAATGAAGCATATTCAGAAGCAAACTACATGTATTACTGGTGGGATGCTGAAGGATAAATCTGTTTTTGGCGGAAATGTTTGAGTTTTAAGATATACTAACCTATTTTGAGGATAAAATGCTGGGTTACTTTGAGTATTTTAAGTGCCGATTCATAGTTACAGTGATTAAGTCTGAGGATAATGAAATCCTGAAGTTAGGTTTGCATCAGGCATCTAATATAATGAAGGCATGAATGGAACATTACAAGTGTATATAAGAACACCAACAGAATAAGTTGGGGTTGGATGTGGTGATGATGTATGATGAACTGAAGGATTCTGGAGAGCTGTGAATACTGTGAATAGCTACAACAAAAGACAAAGCATTCCTGTGGAAATAAGGTCCTGCGTTTGATGTTTATTGCAACTATTCCTCACATATTATAGACCAGGCATCGGCAAACTTTGGCCCTTGTGGTGTTTTGGACTTCAACGCCCACAATTCCTAACAGCCCCAGGCCTTTTCCTTTTCCCTTTCAGCTGCTTAAGCAGGGGGAAAGGAGGAAAAGGAAAGGGCCTGAGGCTGTTAGGAATCCTGGGAGTTTGAAGTCCAAAACACCTCGAGGGCCAAAGTTTGCCCATGCCTGTTGTATAGAAGAGGATATTCTAGCACATGTTATCTGGACTGTTGGGAAACCCTTTTGGGGGTGGGGGTTGTGACCTTGATGGGTGGGTTGTGGCCTTGATGATCAAGAAGCAGAGAACAGGCTGGTTTGCATAGTGCTTCCATGTGGCTCACCCTTCTTTCTGCCATAGGATCTGAAACAAAGTTGGAAGATTTCAAATGGTTTTCATGGATTAAGAGGGCAGCTTCCCCAGTTCTGGGTCAGAGGGAATAGAGGAAACCCTACTGATGATCCTTGTAATAAGTTACTCCTAATGTATTGTCGAAGGCTTTCATGGCCGGAATCACTGGGTTGTTGTACTTTTTTTATCGGGCTGTATGGCCATGGTCTAGAGGCATTCTCTCCTGATGTTTCACCTGCATCTATGGCAAGCATCCTCAGAGGTAGTGAGGTCTGTTGGAACTAGGAAAAGGGTTTATATATCTGTGGAATGACCAGGGTGAGACAAAGGACTCTTGTCTGCTGGAGCTAGGTGTGAATGTTTCAACTGACCACCTTGATTAGCATACAATGGGCTGACTGTGCCTGGAGCAAACTTTTGTTGAGAGGTAATTAGATGTCCCTGCCTGCTTCCTCTCTGTTGTTGTGCTGTTGCAATTTTAGAGTTTTTTTAATACTGGTAGCCAGATTTTGTTCATTTTCATTGTTTCCTCCTTTCTGTTGAAATTGTCTACATGCTTGCGTATTTCAATGGCTTCTCTGTGTAGTCTGACATGGTGGTTGTGAGAGTGGTCCAGCATTTCTGTGTTCTCAAATAATATGCTGTGTCCAGGTTGGTTCATCAGGTGCTCTGCTATGGCTGATTTCTCTGGTTGAAGTAGTCTGCAGTGCCTTTCATATTCCTTGATTCGTCATTCCATAGATATATAAACTAGGCCTGGGTAACAACGGAAAAATTTGTTTCTAAAATCGATTCATTTTTTGGGGGTTTTTGTGTTTCGATTTTTAAAAGAATTCCGAAATTTTTCTGTAAAAAAGTTCGATATTTACGAAATTTCGTAATTCGTAAAATAGTTACGAAACAATTACGAATCGATTCGTTAATGGCGGACGCGACCGCGCAATATGCTAAAAAACCTCCAAATGGGACAGGGGGAACTTCTGAAGCTTCCCTCTCCCTCTGTTGTTGACTGTTGGTGTGATATTTATAATTTTTTTTCACTGATTAAACAAACAACAACTATACAACTTGCCCCAGACATGCGGAAATAATAACGAAACGATTTCAAAACAATAACGAAACGAATACAAAACGAATCCGAAGCAATTACGAAACGAATTTAAAAATTCGTTTCGTTTTTTAGATGCTCCTGAATGGTTCGTTATCGCTTCGTTATAAAAAAATAATGAATTTTTAACGAATTACGAAATTACGAAACGAAACCGCCCAGCCCTAATATAAACCCTTTTTCCTAGTTCCAACAGATGCTTGCCATAGATGCAGGCGAAACGTCAGGAGAGAATGCCTCTAGACCATGGCCATACAGCCCAAGTTACATCTAGTTATGACCTTGTTGGATAGAAATGGAAAAGCTTTCTAACCATGGAAAAATACTGTTTGATAAACATGTGGAAAATTAAAAAACACCTGGGTAATGGCGTTGAATGTCATGTTGCAAGACCTAAGGTGGTGTGGTAATGGTTGAGCCACAACCATGTGCGGATTATTGCATCAGCCAGTGTCTTATACTATAAGCCAGTGGCTATATAAAGAGGATGAAAGACTCCACCTCTCCCTCTCCTGTGTGACTCTATGTGAGTATCTGCCTATGCTGTATATGACTATTTACTCAATCTGATTGTTTGCAATAACAAGGAAAGTGGATCTAGGTTTCCTGTTTGTATATTTGTATATATTAAATCCTCTGGATATTTTGGATGAAAACGTGAATCCACGAGTTTACTATAAAGTGTGTGTAGATGCTGGCAGTTGGACTCTGTTGATAGATGGGCTGAAGTGTGTTTATGCTGTGAAAGTGTTCTGCTGTATTTTTGTTGACTTTTGGGACACTTGCTATCCAGCTTGCAGCAGTTTGGGGAGGTCATGATTTGGAAACTATAAATCACTTCACTACCAGCATCCCGCAACAGACTTGCCCATGCAGCTGCTATGGAGCACCACTTACAAGCCTGTGGAATGGGCCAGTTGCCAAAGGGCCGCCCATCACACAATTTTCCAGCCTTCCTAGTGAAGCCTCACAAACACACCTCCTCACCTTCAGTGCCTCTCTGCTCTAACCAACCAAGCAACTTTCAACATTTTCTTCCCAGGGCCTTTCCACACAGTCCTATATCCCAGAAGATCAAGGCAGAAAATCCCACAGTATCTGCTTTGAACTGGGTTATCTGAGTCCACACCCTGATAATGTGGGATTTTCTGCCTTGATATTCTGGGATATAGGGATGTGTGGAAGGGCCCCCAGAGAAACCCCTGCCTTCCCAGGACACTCATCTTGGAAAAAAGATCTCTTTGATGTTGCACAGCAGGCCCCTATCCCTCCTCAAAAGACGGCCCTGATGCTATCTTCTAGCACTTCGATTCCAGTGGGAAAAGCTGTCTAATACTGTAATGTTAAAGTTAGATGATGCTACAAAATTTCCATAATATATGTAAACTGAAGGGGTTCTTGAATAAATATGCTCAAAGGAGTGTCTCGTCATTTACATATAGAAAAAAGACCTCCCCCCTCAGGAAAAAAAATAATAAAAGAAAGAAGGAAAGACAGATCACATATAAAGATGCATTACAAGATCTCTAGCTTTGGTCAAAAGAGTTGTAGAGTGCCATAACGCCATCCAAATAAACCAAATGTATAGCTGTCCCTCCCCTTCTTGGTCATCCCCTCCAGTTAAAATCACCCAAATGGCAGTGCATCAGGTTCATAGTGGTTAATGAAGTCCAAAAAAGCACGTCAGGAGAACACGCAGGGAAGACGTCAGAAGCCAAAGAGATTGTCGTCTTTTTCTCCTGCTCTCACGGCATCAACTTTGTCCCAGTCGACGGGTGACAGGATTTCAGCACTCTGGATATCTTGAGCAGTCAAGCCGATGTCAAGGTCCTGAGGGTTAGTTCGAGACTCTGCCAATCTGAAAGGAGGAAAAAGGAAATCATGAATGACTCCACTTCTGAACTGATCAAACCACTCTGGAGGTTTTCAAATGGAGGCTGGTGCTTGGACTGTGCCTTCCTGTTTGGATGTTATTATTATTATTATTATTATTATTATTATTATTATTATTATTAAACTTTATTTGTACCCCGCTAGCATCTCCCGCAGGACTCAATGCGGCTTACAAAGGCCAAGGTTTCAACAAACAATACAACAATACGAAACCTAGGCAAATTAAAACAATTAAAGCAATCTAAAACAACAAGCAAAGAACAATCCACTAAGGCACAATAAAACTGGGCCGGGCCAGAGTAAGGGTACAAGGGTTAAAAGTGCTGATGTGACAGGTGGAAATGAGGCTTATGGACAAGTGCAGTGTGCAGTGTGCAGCGGTCTTGGCTTTAATAAACTGCTTCTGGGACTTGGTATTGGAGGTTTCCTATTCGGGAAAGGCACATTGGAACAGCCAGGTCTTCAAGTTCTTTCTGAAGGCTGCCAATGTAGGGGTCTGTCTAAGATCTTTGGGGAGGGTGTTCCAGAGTCGGGGGGCCACCACGGAAAAGGCCCTGTCTCGTGTCCCCACCAAACGCGCTTGCGACGCAGGTGGGATCACAAGCAGGGCCTCTCCAGATGAACGGAGAGAGCGTGGGTTCGTAGACGGAGATGCGGTCACGCAGGTAGGCTGGTCCCAAACCGTTCAGGGCTTTGTAGGTAAGCACCTGCACCTTAAATTGGGCTCGGTAGATAAACGGCAGCCAGTGGAGCTCCTTGAACAGGAGGGTTGACCTCTCTCTGTAAAAAGCGCCAGTCAACATCCTGGCTGATGCTCGTTGGAGCAGTTGGAATTTCCGAGCCGTTTTCAAGGGCAGCCCCACGTAGAGCGCATTACAGTAATCCACCCTAGAGGTGACCAAGGCAGATCAGCCTTCGCAAGGTATGGTTGCAGTTGGCGCACGAGTCTTAGTTGTAGGGAGTTGGATGTAGGGAGTTGGACTTGATGCCCTTTGGGGGTCCCTTCCTCCTTCTCCGTCTTTTCAGTACTGCTTTTATTTGGGGGGGGGGAAGCATTTTTCAGGACTACAGACAACACACTAATAGTGTGTCCTGACACGCAATTTGGAAAGCTCTGCTCTAGAGAACAGCAGGTGGATAAGAGGGAATTTCTGCAGCATCCTTAAAGGGCCTTGCAGGAAAGGAGACACAGAGCTGTATGCATAGAGTGCCCTGGCCCAGCTTACTTATCCGAACGTATCTCTCTCTACGTTCCACCTCGTAATTTAAGATCTACTGGGGAGGCCCTGCTCTCAGTCCCACCAGCGTCTCAAACGCGTCTGGTGGGGACGAGGGACAGGGCATTCTCGGTGGTGACCCCCCCCCCCCCACTTATGGAATTTGCTCCCCGGCGAGATTAGATCGGCATCCTCCCTCCTTACTTTTAGGAAAAAACTAAAGACGTGGTTTTGAGCCAGGCCTTTGGATAGTGGGCACAACAGCACTTTAGGCACTGAACTCGGACAATAGTTGAAAACATCTGACTTACAAACGACTTATAGTTAAGCACAGGGTGAGACACCAGGAAGTGAGAGGAAATCTATCCTCTGGGAAGGGAAATTCAGTCCTGAAAGAGTTATCAAGAGGGAAAAGTATCTCAACTGAAGCTTTCTCAACAATCCGTTTCCATGACAAGCCACATTTTTCCAAAATCCAATTCTCACAAGGACAGAAAGTGAGGTGAAATCTTCTGAACAGGAGTAAATAAATATCAAATATCACAGATGTGTAAACCCTTCCCTAAGCTACCTAAAGCTATATATATAGAGAGAGAGAGAGGGAGAGGGAGAGAGAGAGAAAAGGGGGGAGTGCGTACACGTGTGTGTATGTATGTGTGTATGTGTATATCTATATCTCTATAAATGCTCTGTGAATAATGAGTACCTTAAAAACAAAAGAACCAATGAACGAAATCACACCAAATTTGGACACAAGATTTGATGGTCACACCAAGGAGTGACCATCACTCAAAAAATTAATTTTGTCATTTGGGAGTTGTAGTTGTTGGGATTTATAGTTCACCTATAATCAAAGAGTATTCTGAACTCCACCAACGATGGAATTGAACCAAACTTGGCACACAGGCCTCCCATGACCAACAGAAAATACTAGCAGTGTTTGGTGGGCATTGGCCTTGAGTTTGGGAGTTGTAGTTCACCTACATCCAGAGAGCACTGTGGACTCAAACAATGATGGATCTGGACCAAACTTGGTACGAATATTCCATATACCCAAATATGAACACAGATGGAGTTTGGGGGAAATAGACCTTGACATTTGGGAGTTGTAGTTACTGGGATTTATAGTTCACCTACAATCAAAGTGCATTCTGAAGCCCATGAACAATTGGGGCAAACTTCCCACACGGAACCCCCATGACCAACAGAAAATAGTTAAGGCCATCCAGTCCAACTCCCTTCACCAGGGCAAGAAAATGTAATCAAAGCCCTCCTGACAGAGACCCATCCAGCCATAGATATAGATAAATACTAGCTGTACCCGCCACGCGTTGCTGTGGCCAACCTTCCCCCTATCTCCCCTTCTTTCCCTTCCTTCCTTCCCTCTTTCCTTCCTTCCTTCCCCTTTTTTCTTTCATTCTCTCCTTCCTTCCTTCTCTTCCTCTTCCTTCCCCCTTTTTCTTTCTCTTCTGCTGTGTCTCTTTTCTTCCTTCTCTCTTTCCTCCTTTCTTTCCCTCCCTCTTTCTCTACATTTTATCCCCTTCCTTCGCTCCCTCTTTCCTTCCTTCTTCCTTTTTCTCTTCTGCAGTCTCTCTTTTCTTCCTTTTCTCTTTCCATCTTTCCTTCCCTCCCTCTTTCTCTACATCTTCCCCCTTCCTTCGCTCCTTCTTTCTTTCCTTCTTTCCCTTTTTTCTTTCCTTCTCTCCTTCCTTCTTTCTCTAACTTTCCTCCCTCTTTCTCTCCTTTCTTCCTTTTCTACCTCATTCCTTCCTTCTTGCTTTCCCTCCCTCTTTCTCTCCTTTCTTCCTTTTCTACCTCATTCCTTCCCTCCCTCTTTCTCTCCTGTCAGGGGTGATTTGAATGCAATAGTCCTGCTTCTTGGCAGAATGGGGTTGGACTGGATGGCCCATGAGGTCTCTTCCAACTCTTTGATTCTATGATTCTATGATTCTTCCTTGACAGATTAGAAGGGGGCGTGGCTTGGAGGTAACGTGAGGAGGGTAGAGGGGAGGGGAGGGGGGATGGGTTTAGAAGGGGGTAAGGTGAGGAGGGAGGAGGGGAGGGGGGATGGGTTTAGAAGGGGGCGTGGCTTGGAGGTAAGGTGAGGAGGGAGGAGGGGAGGGGGGATGGGTTTAGAAGGGGGCGTGGCTTGGAGGTAATGTGAGGAGGGGAGGGGGGATGGGTTTAGAAGGGGCGTGGCTTGGAGGTAATGTGAGGAGGGAGGGGGGAGGGGGGGGGGGGTTGGGAGCGGGGGTGGTGAGGGAGGGGAGGAGGGGGGGGCGCGCGTGTGTGTGCCACACCGGAGGGGGGAAAGGGGGCGCGCGCGTGTGCCGCGCCGGGGGTGTGAGGGGGCACGCGCGCATGTGTGCGTGTGTGCCGCGCCGGGGGGGAGGGGGCGCGTGCGCGCGTGTGTGTGCATGTGTGTGTGTGCCGCGCCGGAGGGGGGGGAGGGGGCGCGTGCGCGCGCATGTGTGTGTGTGCCGCGCCAGAGGGGGGAGAGGGGGCGCGTGCGCGCGCGTGTGTGCCGCCGGGGGGGGTTGGGGGTGCGCGCGCGTGTGTGCCGCGCCGGGTGGGAGAGGGGGCACGCGTGTGTGTGTGTGTGCCGCGCCGGGGGGGGAGGGGCCGTGCGCGCGCGTGTGTGTGTGCCGCGCCGGGGGGGGGGGGGTGAGGGGCCATGTGTGTCCGCGCCAGGGAGTTTGCGCCAGTGCGCATGCTCAGTTGCTTTGTCGTTTATTGTGGTTGTTGTTGTGTGTTTTTGATTTCTGAGTGGATTAGTTTGTACCTTGTTGGTTGCCCTTGGGGCATGGGAAGTTTGGTGGCGTTTCGTTGGGGGGTTTTTGAGTTTTGTTTCCTCATACGACGCCAGGAGGAAATTTATATATATAGATATATGATTCACACACACAGAGAGATAAAGTATTATAGATTTGAAAGGGACTCCTAAAGATGGACAATTATATGTTGCATATTCCAGAACAGGCAAACCAGACAATCTCTACGTCAACACTGTCAAAGAAACATCAAGAAATACTGTTTACCCACAAGCATAAAGATATTACATATATTAGAAACCAGCACTTTCTCATTACTTTATTTTCCATATCACCAGACTGGGCCACAGCAACACGTGGCAGGGGACCGCTAGTATATATATAAATGGAGTTACACTTTAAAATGTTCCTGTCCTGACAGGATCCGCTGGTCCCTAAGCTCTTTCCCCTCTCTGTGGAGTGATCCATAATTACCCCCGCCCACATCCCAAAGTTGCCCTTGACATTCTTGTAACAACTTATACACTAGTATTCCATTTAAGAACAAACCTACAAAACCCATTTTGTTTGTAACTTGGGGACTGCCTATACATGAATCAGGTGAGATTTTGATCAACGAAAGAGGTTTTTCCCACATTCCAGCTTGAGAGGATGGGCTGTGGTAGCACATCGGGTTAAACCGCTAGCTGCAGGAAATCTGCTGACCGGAAGGTTGGCAGTTCGAAGCTACAAGTTGAGGTACCTCCCGACTGTCAGCCCTAGCTTCTGCCGACCTAGCAGTTTGAAAGCATGCAATGTGAATAGATCAATAGGTACCGCCTTGGCGGGAAGGTAAAAGGGTGCCCTATGCAGACGTGGCGGCAACACAATTGGAGATGTCTATGGACAGCAGGCTCCTCAGCATGGAAAAATGGAACAAGAGCATCTCCCCATGGCTGGAGTTGAGCATCGCCTCCAGATGCCGGAGATGGAAAAAA